GTGTGTGTGTGTGTGTGTGTGTGTGTGTGTGTGTGTGTGTGTGTGTGTGTGTGTGTTTGTGTTTTAGCAGAGGTGGGGTTTCGCCATGTTGGCCTGGAGCGACCCTCCCACCTTGACTCCTAAAGTGCTACGATTAGACATGTGAGCCACTGAACCCAACCTGATCCTGATTTTATAATTTATCTTATTAAATAACTCAAATTGAATTGGAAAGCTGAAAGTAAAACTGCCTTCATATGCAGACATGATTGTTTATGGTAGAAAATCCCAAGAATGATACGATAAAATTACTACAGCCAGTAATTGAGTTTATCAGGTTTCAGAATACAGAATCATTATGTAAATATCATTGAATTTATATGCACTAGCAACAATTAAGAAATTTCAAAAACAGTATCATTTAAAATAGCATCAAAAACCATGAGATATTTAGAATAAGCCTAACAAAGTTTATGCAGCATCTGCACGCTGAAAATTATAAAACATTGCTAGAAATTAATAAAGCCCTAAATAAATGGAGATGTTTATAAATCTGAGGACTTAGTATTAAGATTTCAGTTTTTCTCAAATTGGTTGTAATTTCATTTGAATCCAAATTAAAATCAGAGCCAACTTTTATATAAAGTAATGTTTATTCTAACACTTCCATGGAAATGCAAAGGACTAGAAGAGCCAAAACAATTTTTAAGTAGAAGAACAAAGGAATCACAACCTGATTGCTGAACTTACTGTAAAGCTCAGTAACGATCACAGTTTGGTACTAACTTAAGGATAGATCAATGGAACAGATTATAGAGTTTAGAAAGGGACATGCACTTAAATGGTTAATTGATTTTTTTTCTTTTTAAACAAAGATACCCAAGTAATTCAATTGGAAAAAGGCATTTAACAAATGGTGCAGGAAAAATCAGGAATCCATTTATCAAAAAGTTAATCTCAGCCCTTACCTCCTCACTCTATATGCAAAATTAATTTGAAATGCAGCATTTCAAGAAAGCGTAAAACCTCTAAAAGAAAATGCCTGAAAAAAATTATTGCCACTTTGGTTTGGGCAGACTTCTCAGTACATAGAAAGCATGAATCATTTTTTTTTAATAATAAATCAGGCTTTATCAAAATTTAAAACTGCTATTTAGAAGACACTGTTAAGAAAATGAAAAGACAAATCAGATTGGCAAAACAGATCTGATAACAGGGTTTTTGTGCAAAATATATAAAGATCTTTTACAACTCCAATATGACACTCCCAATTTAAAAAAATGGACAAAATATTTGAACAGACCCTTCCCCTAAGAAGATACAAGAATGGCAAACAAGCACATCCAAAGATGCTCAGCATCAGCAGATATGCAAATTAAGCATAGTGAGATGCCACTACACGTCTAGTATGGCTAAGACTGACAATTTTAAGTGCTGACAAAGATGTAGATCAACTAGAAATCTCATACATTGCTGACTGGAATGCAAAATGGTATGGCCATTTTGAAAAACAGTTTGACAATTGTCTGGAAAGTTAAGGGCATATTCTATTTACAATGAAGCAATCCTCTGCTAATTATTTACCCAAGAGATATGAAAACTTATCCCACCAGAGTCCTGAATGTGAATGTTCTTAGCAGTTTTATTTATAATAGACATAAACTGGAAATAACCCCAAAGCTCACAAATTGATAAATGAATAAACAGATGCTGGTACATTCATACAGCAAAATACTACTCGTCAGTAAAAAGGAACAACTCCTAACACATGCAGCAGCAGCAGTGGGTGTATTTCAAAAGAATTTTATGCTACATGAAAGAAGCCAGACACAAAAGTGATTCTCCTGCCTTAGCCTCACGAGTGGCTGGGATTACAGGCATGTACCACCACACCTGGCTTATTTTTGTAATTTTTTAGTAGAGACGGGGTTTTGCCATGTTGGCCAGGCTGGTTTCAAACTCCTGACTTCAGATGATCCACCCACCTTGGCCTCTCAAAGTGCTGGGATTACAGGCGTGAGCTACCGAACCTGGCCAAAAAGTGAGAATTTTTTTTTACATGATTAAAATGTTCTGTATTTTATTTGTGGTATTGGTGATTATATGATATAGATTTGTTGCACTAAGGCTTGTACTTTTCTCAAAAAATGTACATTTTATGTAAATTATACCTAATAATCTTGACTTAAAAAAAAAATTACAGACCAAGGCAGGTGGATCACTTGAGGTCAGGAGTTTGAGACCAGCCTGGTCAACATGGTGAAATCCCATCTCTACTAAAAATACAAAAATTAGCCAGCCTTGGTGGCACATGCCTGTAATCCCAGCTGTTCCAGAGGCTGAGGCAGGAAATCACTTGAACCTGGGAGGCAGAGGTTACAGTGAGCTGAGATTATGCCTCTGCACTTCAGCCTGGGCAACAGAGTGAGACTGTTTCTCAAAAAAAATACAAAACAGAACTTACAAAAGGATTCTATAATAAATGATACATGAAGTCTGTTTAGGTTTGCACAAAATCTAGTCCATTTTAGAAGCATTTCCAACTTGGAATGTAGTGATCTTTTTAATTTAGAATGATCACTAATGCTTCTGAAAATGAAAGATAACAGTCCATGTACATCTTGTAGTTAACAAATATTAAAGTACTTCTGATATTGTCCCAAAAAAATACCTATATTCTGTGAGCAGGGGATGGAATTCAAGAAAATACTTATGTAAATAAGAACAAAGTTATGATCGTGTTAAGTGCAGCAACTGAGAGGTTATGTGTGCTTTGAAGGTGTTTAAGTGAGAAAATAGCACTCTAACTAGGAACTGGACATTCAAAAAGACACAGAGACAGGAATATGCTTGAGTGAATTCTGAAACTTGAGATAAGTCAAACAAGAGGTTTATGGGTAGGTGGTCACAGGAAATAATGGGGCCAGGCCAGATCATGTAGAGTCTTATAGATGGAATTTTTAAGATCTTTTTTTTTTAAATAAAGACAGGGTTTCATCATGTTGGTCAGGCTGGTCTTGAACTCCTGACCTCAGGTGATCCACCCACCTTGGCCTCCAAAGTGCTTGGATTACAAGCGTGAGCCACTATGCCCAGCCGAATTTTTAAGATCTTTAACTGTCATTTGGACTTTGCTGCATAACAAACTACCCCAAACTTAGTGCCTTGAAGCAGCAAACATTATTTCTCATGAGTCTGTGAGTCTGCAGGGCAGTTCATTTGTTGGACTTTCTTAGCTAGAGCTAGGTGGTACAGTTTACACGCATGGCCGGCAGTTCACGCTGCCATTATTCGTTGGTCACAGGGTTCCCAAAGCAGCAGGAAAGGGCAAGCCCCAGTGCACAAACATTTGTCAGGTCTTTTCTTGCATCACGTTTGCTATTCTATTATCCAAAGCAAGTCATGTGGCCTAAGCCCTGAGTCTGTGGGCCAAGACTACCCATGGCTGTGTGCAGTGGGAGGGGAATTACTATCACCATTTTTGCAACAGCCAGCCACATTGAATAACCTGTTTATAATTTCACAGTACATTGTTTCATGCTTTAAAGTACATTATGGCCAGGCACAGTGGCTCATGCCTGTAATCCCAGCACTTTAGGAGGCCGAGGCGGGCAGATCACCTGAGGTCAGGACTTCAAGACCAGCCTGGCCAACATGGCAAAACCCCATCTCTACTAAAAATACAAAAAAAATTAGCCGGGCGTGGTCGTGGGTACCTGTAATCCCAGCTACTTGGGGGGCTGAGGCAGAAGAATTACTTGAACCCAGAAGGCGGAGGTTGCAGTGAGCCAAGATTGTGCCACTACACTCCAGCCTGGGCGATAGAGTGAGAGACCCCGTCTCAAAAAAAAAAAAAAATTACCTTATAAGTTTTTAATTGGAGTTGGTTGGGTACACCATGCTTTTTGATGAGGTGAACTACCCCTTTGCCAGTCTGAATGGGTTTCGTTCATCAAGAGCTCATTTTACTTTTTTCTATAAAGGTTCAGCGAACTATTGCCAAACAGATTCAGATGGTCCGGCAAGTTGGTAAAGGCCGATATGGAGAAGTATGGATGGGTAAATGGCGTGGCGAAAAAGTGGCTGTCAAAGTATTTTTTACCACTGAAGAAGCCAGCTGGTTTCGAGAAACAGAAATCTACCAAACTGTGCTAATGCGCCATGAAAACATACTTGGTAGGTACACACTGATTCAGTCAATTTCATGTTTGACAAGGCTAGTGGGATGTAGGTGGAAGCCTCCATATGTGCTTTGAAAACCTGTGTGAGCTCAGCTGATATGCATTTGGCTAAAGGAAGCCCAGTAGAATGCACGATTAAAATACAACACAGTCCGGAATGCCAACCAAGCACTTTCTTTACTAACTAGCTGAAGAAACAGTAGTGAGTTTCAAATGGAAAATAATACTAGTTTATTGGACTTACTCCCATGGTAATGAAAACCCAGTTTTTTATAGATAGTTTAAGCAGTGATCTAGGGTAACATTAACATATATGCCTTTTGCCTTTCATAACCTCAACAGCCCAACATGCTGCTTCATTGTATGTTCTGTGTTTAATGTGTGTTCCCCCCCAATCTCCATATTTACACAATAGCAAAGTAATGTAGGTATGAGCTGATCGGTCAGATGCATAAACCTATCTGGCTATCCTGAGTTTTCTTTTCCCTTCATCTCCTGTTTTCCTACCTTTAATTTGGAGAGTGCATAGCACATTGCCAAGCAGACAATTGTATTAGTTTCTTAGAGCTGCTGTATCAATTAACCACAAACTGGGTGGTTTCAACCACCAAAACTCACAGTTTTCGAGAATAGAAGTTTAAAACCAAGGTGTTGGCAGAGCCATTCTGTCTCTGAAGACTCTAGGGTGGAACCTTCCTTGCCTCTTCTGGCTACCAGTGGTTGCCAGGAATTTTTGGTGTTCCTTGGCTGGTTATAGACAATACTCTAGTCTCCATTTCTGTCATCAGGTGGCCTCCCCTGGGTGCCTGGGTTCATATTTCCACCTCACAACATCACCAGCCACTGAATTCGGGCTCACCCTAATTCTGTATGGGTCATCTTAACTTGATTACATTTGCAAAGACCCTCTTTCCAAATAAGGTCACATTTATAGGTAACATGGATTTTAGACATGAATTTTGTTGGGGAGCACTATTCAGCTCACCTCAGGGCATAGCACTAACTGACCTTTTTCTGGAGGGAAGAGGGTAGGAGAGAAAGGAAAAGAGAGCAGGACCGTGGACCTGGCAGTCAATGAGCCAGACTGAAAAGGCAGCTGTGATGAGTCACTGATGGGCAATTCGGAGTTGGCTTAATTAGGAGCTAACTCTTGGTTGTACATTCTTAAGTTTATTAAAGTGTCCACTTTTTGCTTTGAAATTGAGAGCCTTTTCTACTAGAGAATCGTAGATTGATGATATTTTCCAGGTTATTTGTTTATGTGATTTTTTTTTTTTTTTTTTTGAGATAGAGTCTTGCTCTGTTGCCCAGGCTGGAGTGCAATGGCTCTATCTCAGCTCACTGTAACCTTCACCTCCTGGGTTCAAGTGATTCTCCTGCCTCAGCCTCCTGAGAAGCTGGGACTTCAGGCACATGCCATCACACCCAGCTAATTTTTGTTTTCTTAGTAGAGACGGGGTTTTGTCATGTTGGCCAGGCTGGTCTTGAACTCCTGACCTCAAGTGATTTGCCTGCCTCAGTCTCTCAAAGTGCTGCGATTACAGGCATGAACCACCTTGCCCAGCATATGTGATCATTTTCTTAGTCATATTATCACTTTCATGATGATTAAGATTTATAAATTTATTATAGAAGTACAATTATATGTGTAAATGGTAGAAATAAAATTTTTTAGTGACATATTCATGACTTGATGTCAGGCAAATTAAAGTTTCATTATCTGCACATGATACCTAAGTTGTTCTCAGTATCCAGAATGAGTATTACTTTTTCCTGGCCATCTCTGATGTTAACTAACCTTTTAACTCATCAACTGGACAGGTTTCATAGCGGCAGACATTAAAGGTACAGGTTCCTGGACTCAGCTCTATTTGATTACTGATTACCATGAAAATGGATCTCTCTATGACTTCCTGAAATGTGCTACACTGGACACCAGAGCCCTGCTCAAATTGGCTTATTCAGCTGCTTGTGGTCTGTGCCACCTGCACACAGAAATTTATGGCACCCAAGGAAAGCCTGCAATTGCTCATCGAGACCTGAAGAGCAAAAACATCCTCATCAAGAAAAATGGGAGTTGCTGTATTGCTGACCTGGGCCTTGCTGTTAAATTCAACAGGTGAGTGGTTCTTTGCCCTACTGTTTTGAAATTATTTTGATCTCCAAAAGATATTTCCCTATTTGTATTCAAGATAATGGAATTCTAAAAATGTACACATGCTCATTTTTAGTTACATAAATATATAGTTGGGGGTTTGTTCTTTTTTTTTGAGACGGAGTTTCACTCTTGTTACCCAGGCTGGAGTGCAGTGGCGCGATCTCGGCTCACCGTAACCTCCGCCTCCTGGGTTCAGGCAATTCTCCTGCCTCAGCCTCCTGAGTAGCTGGGATTACAGGCACGCGCCACCATGCCCAGCTGATTTTTCGTATTTTTAATAGAGATGGGGTTTCACCATATTGACCAGGATGGTCTCGATCTCTTGACCTTGTGATCCACCCACCTCGGCCTCCCAAAGTGCTGGGATTACAGGCATGAGCCACCGCACCCGGCCGGGGGTTTGTTCTTTTACAAAAAATTGCATCCTCCTACTCTTATACATAATTCTTGATATCTTTTTGTTTGTTTTTTGAGACGGGGTGTCATGCAGTTGCCCAGGCTGTAATGCAGTATTGTGATCATAGCTCATTGCAACCTCAACCTCATGGGTTTAAGGAATCCTCCCACCTCAGCCTCCTGAGTAGCTAGGACTACAGGCATGCACTGTCACACCCATCTAATGTTTTTATTTTTTGCAGAGATGGGGTCTCACTGTGTTGCCCAGGTTGGTCTCAAACTCCTAGGCTCAAGCAATCCTCCCAGAGGGCTGGGATTACAGGTGTGATCCCACGCCCATCCAGATTTCCTGTTTTATAGTCTTAGCCATCTTTCTATTTCAGCTGTTGTAAATCTACCTCATTCTTTTGAAAAGATGTAGAATTTTCCATATATGGAGATACTGTAGTTTATTCTTAAGACCCAACTGATGAACATTAAAGGTACCTTCAGTTTATTATTAGAAAGTTTAATGAACATTGTTGTATTTAATCCATATATTATATATTCGATCCTTGTGCACTTGTACAAGTATTTCTTCATGATGGATTCCTAGAGAAGGGCCTGCTGAGGCAGTGAGTTTGTGCATATTAGACTATGGTGTGTTGCATATTTCTTTCAAGAGTGTGCCTCAGTTTACACGCCCATAAGCAGTGGAGATAAGGATGTTATTTTTCTATCATCACTTGATAATGCCAGTATTTTTAAACAATACAAGTGTTAGAATTAGAAATTACAAATTTTTAGGAAACCACTGAAACTATTTTAATCTTGTAATTCTAGAGTGGAGTGGCTGCTATACATTTCAGAATTCATTTTAGGCCATAACATAAAAGTACTAGTCTTTAAAATGACTATAAGAGACATTTAAATCTGTTACAGTGTTCTGAGTCAGTGTAGTATTTGTTGGCTCAGATATTTATCAGATGCTATAAGAAAATACAGCACATTATATCAATCAGTGCTTTAGAGTAATTATTACTGATTGTCAGTATGATCATGTGAGCATTGCTAACGGCACAACTAAGTTGACTGGACCCATAAAGAAGAAAATGTAATCCTGGGTCACAAAGCCTGAGTGTATCATAAGAGAGTGGGGAAAGCAAACAGTTCCTCTTCTGTTTCCATATTCACTACTTCTCAGATGTAATTGTCTAACATTATTTTTTTTTTTCTCCCCCCTGAGGCAGAGTCTCACTCTGTTCCCCAGGCTGGAGTACAGTGGTACAGTCTCGACTCACTGCAGTCTCTGCCTCCCAGGTTCAAATAATTTTCGTGCTTCAGCCTCCTGAGTAGCTGGAATTACAGTCATGTGCCACCGCTCCTGGCTAACTTTTTTAGTTTTAGTAGAGATGGGATTTCACCATATTGGCCAGGCTGATCTTTAACGCCTGACCTCAGGTGATCGCTCGCCTTGGCCTCCTGAAGTACTGAGATTACAGGCATGAGCCACTGCTCCTGGCCTTACTTTATCTTATATTCAGTGTTGTCCTCTTTCCTAGAGAGGCATCAAACTTACTTGGTGACAGAACCTCACCTGAATGGATGTGAGGTGTGTATTGTCTTTATCCAGTTGAGTAAGACTGTCGGACTTAGTGTTTTGCGGCAGACACAGTAATGAGGACTGAGTTTGATTAAGAGTGCTGCCCCAACCCTGCAGAGGATCATGTAGTATGTAGCATGTATTCAAAGAAAATCTGAAAAATGCTAAATTCCACAATACATCTGGCCCCAAGGAGAAAGAATAACTTTTATAAAATGGGACAAAAATACAAGATCAACTATTTTATTCTTGACCCTCAACTTGGACATTGGCTTTCTTTTGTTTCAGTGACACAAATGAAGTTGATGTGCCTTTGAATACCAGGGTAGGCACCAAACGCTACATGGCTCCAGAAGTACTGGATGAAAGCCTGAACAAAAACCACTTCCAGCCCTACATCATGGCTGACATCTACAGCTTTGGCCTGATCATTTGGGAGATGGCTCGTCGTTGTATCACAGGAGGTAGGAGTTTGAGTAGTTTCTCATTATATTTATTTACCCGTCATTTAAAAAATAACAGCTACAGTTATATAATTTATTTTTTAATTTTCTGTGGGCACATAGTAGGTCTATATATTTATGGGGTAAGGGGATATTTTGGTACAGGCATGCCATGTGTAATAATCACATCATGGAGAATTGGATATCTATCCCGTCAAACATTTATCCTTAGTTTCACCAACCATTTATACTCCTTGAGTTATTTTTAAGTGTGCAATTAAGTTATTACTAACTATAGTCCCCACTGTTACACTATCAAATACCAGGTTTCATTCATTCTTCTATTTTGTTTGTACTCATTTAACATCTGCCTGCCCCCTGCTACCCTTCCCAACCTCTGGTAACCATCCTTCTATTCTCTGTCTCCATGAATTCAGTTGTTTTGATTTTTAGATCTCACAAATAAGTGAGAACATGTAAAGTTTGTCTTTCTGTCCCTGGCTTAGTTTACTTCAAATAATGACCTCCAGTTCCATCCATGTTATTGCAGAAGACAGAATCTCATTCTTTTTTATGGCTGAATACTTCATTGTGTATAGGTGCCACATTTTCTTGATCTGTTCATCTGTTGATGGTCACTTAGGTTGCTTCCAAATCTTGCTTAGGGTGCTGCAGCAAACATGAGGGTGCAGATATCTCTTCAGTTTGCTGATTTCCTTTCTTTGGGTATATACCGAGGGGTACAATTGCTGGCAGTTATGTAATTTAGATGTCACATATGTCAGAGTCTCCAAGACTGCCCTCAAGTTGTGCAATTTTTGGTTGTCCCCATGGCTAACATTTATCCCAGTGAAAGGATACAAATCAAAATCAGCCAAGGTCAGAAAACCAGGTGAGGCTTCCCAGAGTCCTGCCCTGTCGAGTCGGCATGCTTCATTCCTCCCACAAGTTGTGACAACACATACAAAGTGCTCTCTCATCTGGGGAAGCTCCTTAGAGACTTGGTGCCCAGAGACTTTACTGGAGGCGTCCTCTGCCTGACAGGTACCAGAGGCGTCCTGTAGGACGTCCCATAGGCGTCCTCTGCCTGACAGGTACCAGAATTCCAGAAGGAAACCAGACATGCAGTACACACCACATTGTTTGCAGAAGCAGCCCAGGGGTGGTGAGCCACCCTCACCGTTTTGGGGAAGTTTTACTTCCATGTAGGGAACTGTTTACCATTCGTGTACCCAGGCACTGGCCAAGGCCAAATCTTGCAAGCCGGCCTTTCCTAAGGAAAGGTTTCAGACTTGCTGTGTGAACCTTTATCTGCACCTCATAAGTCTTTCTAGAAACTGCAGAGCAAAATGAAACAAAATAATAAAAACTATTCATTAGTAGGAACAACCATGTAAGTAAATAATTAGATTATACTTTAGGGTAAATGGCTGATTTCGCCTTGCGTATTTTTTTTAAGTAAGATTGGAATGCCCTTTGTTGATAGACTCTATCACAGATGTGATGACATCCCTAATGGAGGTAGGGAAATAGTTGGACATAAATAAGAGGAAAACATACATCTATTAAGAGTGAATCATCGTGTCTGTATTTTTTTTGTCTAAGAATCTATAGTTCTATAGTTTAGCAAGAGATCCTTAATAGATTGGTGTACTTTGTCCAGCAATCATTTTTGTGCCCATGTTTTCTTCCTAACAGGGATCGTGGAAGAGTACCAATTGCCATATTACAACATGGTACCGAGTGATCCGTCATATGAAGATATGCGTGAGGTTGTGTGTGTCAAACGTTTGCGGCCAATTGTTTCTAATCGGTGGAACAGTGATGAAGTGAGTGGAACTCAGTCCGCTGAAGAAGTGATTGGTAAATGCCACCAAAGATATTCTCTGCTCACTATATTCTCTTTACTTTTCAGTGTCTACGAGCAGTTTTAAAGCTAATGTCAGAGTGCTGGGCCCACAATCCAGCCTCGAGACTCACAGCATTGAGAATCAAGAAGACACTTGCCAAGATGGTTGAATCCCAAGATGTAAAAATCTGACGGTTAAACCATGGGAGGAGAAACTCTAGACTGCAAGAACTGTTTTTACCCATAGAATGGATGGAATTAGAGTGGAATAAGGATGTTAACTTGGTTCTCTGACTCTTCACTATGTGTTCACAGGCTGCTAATATTAAACCTTTCAGTACTCTTATTAGAATACAAGCTGGGAACTTCTAAATACTTCATTCTTTATATATGGACAGCTTTTAAATGTGGTTTTTGATGCCTTTTTAAAAATGGGTTTTTATGAACTGCATCAAGACTTCAATCCTGATTAATGTCTCCAGTCAATCTCTGGGTACTGAATTGCCTGTTCATAAAACGGTGCTTTCTGTGAAAGCCTTAAGAAGATAAATGAGTGCAGCAGAGATGGAGAAACAGACTTTGCCTTCTACTTGAGACATTCAGCACGTTTGTATTCTACCTTTGTAAAACAGCCTATAGATGATGATGTGTTTGGGATACTGCTCAGTTTATGATAGTTTGTCCTGCCTTCCTTAATGATGTGTGTGTGTGCACTCACATGCACGCCAGGATTCCTCTGCTGCCATCTGAATTAGAAGAAAATAATTTATATGCATGCACAGGAACATATTGGTGGCCGGTGGTTTTGTGCTTTAAAAATGCAATATCTGACCAAGATTCGCCAATCTCATACAAGCCATTTACCTTACAAGTGATAGCTTCCCCACTAGCTTTATTTTTTAATGTGAAAGGATACAAAGGCCAAAAGAAGTTTAAAGCATCTGTAAATTTGGACTGTTTTTCTTCTACCACGATTTTTTTTGTAGTCATTATTTTTGTCATGGAAAGCATCCTCTCCAAAGTTGGAACTTCCAATGCCATGAACCATGCTTACTAAGAAAGCACTTCTTATTGAAGTGAATTCCTGCATTTGATAGCAATGTAAGTGCCTATAACCGTGTTCTGTATTCTTTATTCTCAGTAACTTTAAAAAGGGAAGTTATTTATATTTTGTGTATAATGTGCTTTATTTGCAAATCACCCACTCCTTTATAACCGTACTTTATATATGTACATACATTCATACTGTAGAAGCCAGCTCATGTGTACCTCACATCCCATCCTTAAGGGAAGGAATGTTATAAGTAGAACTAAATATGGATTTTGAGAATTAATGCATTCAAAGTAATATATCAAATCCAGGACTTCGTTAACTTCAGGCAAAAACTTCATGAGGGTAATATCATCTCAGTTTTTCTAAACGAAAGGATTCTCTAATTAGAAATTCATATGTCAGAACTGTTATAAATTTATCAACTGTTAAATATGTCTTGAGATTTTTTGTTTTTTGATTTGTTTCCTAACTTGTGAAGACAATGAAAAATCAGGCAGAAATATTAAGTATCTAGTCACTATCTGTAGTTACACTGTATAACTGTTTTTCAATAAAATGGTACATATTTTATAGATGCCTTGTTATCTCAAGAAATAATTCTGGTTTACATGAACTTATTAAACTTCTGTAATGCCTTTTAAATATTAATCTCCTAGTCTGAGCATACAACTCATGGGTACATCAAGTGAGATCATTTTCTTTGATTACAACATAAATGTGATTATATCACAACATAGTTAAAAAGGTTTAAATTAAACGGGAGGAAATTAGCATGTGTCCACCCATTACCAAAATTTGACTTTCATTTGAGGCTAAAACTTACAAATTTGTATGTACATCAAATCTCACAAATTTGAAACTCGCCTTAACCATTTTTTAATAAGGTTCATCTACCATAATTAAAGTCTGAAGTGGTTATCAAGATAAATAAATTGGCATATGGCTAATACCCAGTAACACTTTTTCAGAGTTTTTCCCCATATGTATACTGAGAAATAAAAATATTTTAATCTAAGTTGCTATGTGATTTGATCACACTTAGAACATCCAAATTACTTAAAATTAACCTTGGTTTACTTTTGACTTGATACCATAAGTCTTTAAAATCATTTATCTTAATAAAATATATAATGACAGGCAAATTTTATTCTTGGAAATGTTCAGATGGTATATGGATGCAAAAAATTACAGCCAGTATATGAGCCCACTATTACGGTTTTTAAAAATTAACTTGGTCTAGTAAAAGTGATATCAAGAGTTAACCTTTAGAAACTTGTTCAGTAACTACATTTTCTGGTATAACGTTCTTTAAAAAGCAAGTCTGCCATCTTTAGAATCTTAAAAATCTAAAAATGTTGCATTAAACTTAGTTTTTGTCTCTCCACTCTTATTCTTAAATCTGAAGCTCATCGAGTAAGTGAAATATTTAAAGAATAGACCAGCAAGAAGTATTATATAGTACCATAGTTAGTAAATTTGTAAAACCCTGGAAGCCATTATTTGGTCCCATTTGCAATTTAGTGTTTTTTAAATGTGTAGCTTCATTCAGATACCTCTTTAAATCACTAAAATATAAAAGCAAACAAAAACCCCAGACTACCTGACTATAAACAGCAAAAGTTAACCCTCAAAGAGAGTTCTCCTTGTGAACTATCTTTATGCTGGCAAAGAGCTCTAGGATTATAGGCGCATTAGGGTTTGCTCCAGTTTGTTTATCCTAAGCTGTTACTGTGCTTTCTTATCGAACAAGTTTCTGATGTATAAAACTTGAATCCGATTTCTTGGGAAATATTTTCACAAAAGTTGTTTTACTATTTTACATTTCCTTTCCAGTGTCCAGAAGTGTTTCTAAACTTAGAAAGTGACCTATAGTTTTGTTTTCCTAGAACATGCCAGATTCTGATTTACTCAATCAATACTTTTTTTCAGTTGCTTTGTTCTGTTTAGAACAAAAATGCACTATAGTTTTTAGAGTCATTCATTTTATAAAACTGACACACACTTCCATAGATGTTGTTTTGAAATGTTTCTAAATATCTAAAATTATTTCAACAGCAGAAATACTGATTTTTATTTTAACAAAAAAATTATGATAGCCCTCGTAATGTTTAAAGTAGCCGTATTTATTACTGACTTGAGTCAGGCATTAAAATAGCAGTGCCACAGCTCATCTCTTGCCTCAGTGCTGCTGTGAGAGTCACAGCGGGAACTAAAGGGAGGAGGCGCATTCATAAGAACCAAAATCCAGGGCAGCATCCTGTGAAGCCACGTGTAATGATGGTCTCATAAGGAAAGTATGTGAATATGGCTCTTGCAAAGGATTAAATCTTGTAATTTTTAGCTTATGCTCTGTAGCCTGCTTTCTAGGGAATTATTTAAGCCCTTTTAGGGACCTTTGTCCTGACCCATTTAAAAACTAAAATGTAGTGTATATTGTATATTATAGCTTCATTAGGGAAAACTGTACATAGGCATTGAAAGAAGGGTAAAAGCAAGCAGTTTTATCATGCAATTGTAAAACACCAAAAATGTAGATTTGTCTTTGATATGTAACACACTAAATGTATTTTGTACAGCATCTGGTTTCAAAGGTGCCTTACTAAGTTTACTATTACTTGCTTTGTTCTATATACAGATTATGTCCAATGTATCATTTTTAAGTAAATAACCTTATTTTAGTACACTTTAGTAATGTGTTTTGTGATGCTACACTCAGATGGTATTGTGCATCAGAAGTCGTCTGTTGAGATTTTTATCACAAGTAAGTTAGTGTACATACATAAGTTCCTGAGATGTGCACTTCAGCTACCAGAAGCCCAGTATGGGGCACAGGTAGGCACACACTTGCCTTTGTGTAGATCGAGAACTCTTAAACCTGTATTATACTGCAGGGTTTTTTCCTTTGAGAAACAACACAAGGCCAGGTGCTGTGGCTCATGCCTGTAATCCCGACATTTTGGGAGGCTAAGGCGGGTGGATCACAAGGTCAGGAGACTGAGACCATCCTGGCTAACACAGTGAAACCCCGTCTCTTTAAAAAAAAAATGAATAAAAATAAAAAGACAAAACATTTCTTTTTTTCTTTTTTTTGAGACAGAGTTTTGCCCTTATTGCTTGAGGCTGGAGAGCAATGGCACGATCTCATCTCACTGCAACCTTTACCTCCCGGGTTCAAGCTATTCTCCTGCCTCAGCCTCCTGAGTAGCTGGAACTATAGGTGTCTGCCACCACACCTGGCTAATTTTTTGTATTTTTAGTAGAGACAGGGTTTCACCATGTTGGCCAGTCTGGTCTTGAACATCTGACCTCAGGCGACCCACCTGCTTCGGCCTCCCAAAGTGCTGAGGTTACAGGCATGAGCCACTGTGCCCTACCAAAATGTTTTCTGATTATGAAAACATGTACTTGTGGCAGAAAATTTGGGAAACAGGAAAGAATAAAGCAAATAAAAATCACTCAAAATCCTATTGCCAGGCATTACCACTATGTACGTTTGAGTGTTTCTTTTCATTCTTTTTTTTGAGACAAGAGTCCTGCTCTGGCGCCCAGGCTGATCTTGCCTCAGTGCAACCTCTGCCTCCCAGGTTCAAGTGATTCTCCTGCCTCAGCCTCCCACGTAGCTGGGATTACAGGCGTGCCTCACAATGCCCGGCTAATTTTTGTATTTTAGTAGAGACGGGGTTTCATCATGTTGGCCAGGCTGTTCTCAAACTCCTGACCTCAAGTGATCCACCTGCCTTGGCCTCCCAAAGTGGAGATTACAGGAGTGAGCCACCTCACCTGGCCTCATTCTTTCTTATGCTGCATTTTTTGTGATATTAAAATCCTAGTATGCCATTAAATAGCCATTAAGAACTTTTTTTTAATGACTACACAAAATTCAACCAAGTACATGGAGTCATTTCTGTGTTCAACTCCCTATTAAATGTTTGGATTATTCTCATTGTTTTTGAAAAACAGATATCGAACATCCCTATACATAAACCTTTATTTTCTTATATTACATTTCTGAAAATGGGACTAGTGGATGTGAACTTTTAATAGATCCTTTGTTTAAGATGGGAAAAGTCTAAGGTTCTTGAAAAACATTGCCATATTGGTGCCCACAAAGCTTTTCATTTTCATTCCTGCTGGCAGTTCATGAGGCTAGAGTAATGGGATGCATTTACTTGGCCTTCAGGTGTTCCTGCTGCAGTGGGAAGTGGAGCCTTGGAGAGCTTTCCTCCTGCTAGGCAATACTGTCTGGTCAATTCCCCACCTGCGCTGAGTCCCACCGTCTGTTTTCAGGTGTATGTGAATTCATCCCAGCAGACTGCCTTCTGCTGCCTTTTCCTAGGAAACTGAACATGTTAAGTCACAGACAAGATGTGGCACAGGTTAATGTTCCTCAAATGCATGTTTGGAGATAGCCTGTCACAGATGCCTGATGGGAGTCTCTGTTCAGTGTCATTGTAAGAGTCTCTCAGAATAACCGCAGGTGCTGTGATGCAGCCTGGTAAAGAAGACTCGGTGATTTCTGGGGCCTGTGGATGCTTGCCAGCTTTCTTCTGTCTGTGGAAACAATAAATGTATTCATTTCCTCTTTCCAGCAATCTGTTGGTCTCACTGCTCCATTCCAGGGTTTCTTTAATATTATTAGTAGAGCAGACAGTAAGAAACAGAACTGTCTAGTCCTTGTTCTTCCAGAATAGGTTTAATCTTTGTGTTTCAAGCAGACACAATATCAGTTATTAAGTCTTCATTCACTTGGAGAAACATTTGTCTGCTGATTCTAGTGCATTGACCGTTTCTGACATGTCATCCTTATATTAAATTAGGCGCATGCTCCTACACAGCCTTGGCTCCACCCTTGGAGCACACAGTCTTGACTGGGTGGACATGATCCACTGACAGTGGTCAGTCAGCAGTGAGCAGAGGCCACCCGTCAGCGGCACTGTTGCAGGCATGGAGACTTAAATGTGTGAGTGCCGGTACCAGCAGAAGTGAGAAAGTCACCTCAACACTGTGATCCAGATGGCAGCTTAGTTCAAGTGTAATGGCACATATAAAAAATATTGTTGGATGGGAACAAGGACTAGGGCTAAAAGGTTAATCCATAATAACTTTTTCTTTTTTGAGGTGGAGTCTCACTCTGTCACCCAGGCTGGAGTGCAATCCCAGCTCACTGCAATCCCCACCTCCCAGGTTCAAGCAGTTCTGCCTCAGCCACCCGAGTAACTGGGATTACAGGTGTGCACCATCATGCCCAGCTAATTTTGTATTTTTAGGAGAGACAGGGTTTCACCATGTTGGCCAGGCTGGTCTCAAACTCCCAACCTCAGGTGACCTGCCCACCTCAGCCTTCCAAAGTGCTGGGATTACAGACATGAGCACCGCACTTGGCCTGTAATCTCCCTTTGACGTAGGAATTGTTAATTCACATTTTTTGATGGAACATTTGTAGCCTACCTATTGCTCCTCTGAATCTTAGAAGCTTCTTGGTCTATGTTCAAATGAAATCTAAGTCCATTCCAGATCTCTCAATCTCCCTACATCCTCAGTGCTCATATCCTAATTTTTTTCTTTTTTAGAGAGTCTCACACTGTCACCCAGGCTAATGTGCAGTGGCTGTTCACAGGCACAATCATAGTGCACTGTAGCCTCAAACTCCTGGCCTCAAGCCATCCTCCCACCTCAGCCTCCTGAGTAGCTGGGACCACAGGTGCATGCCACCATGCCTGGCTCATATGCTAAACATTATGCAGGAAGCTTGAAGTGTTACCATCATCTAAAAATCAGTATGGAATGTTTATATTGAAAAAAATTTCGGCCAGGTACGGTGGCTCACACCTGTAATCCCAACACTTTGGGAGGCCGAGGTGGGCAGATCACCTGAGGTCAGAAGTTTAAGTGCAGCCTGGCCAACATATAGTGAAACCCCATCCCTACTAAAAGGCACCACACCACAGATGTGGTGGTGCACCTGTAGTCCCAGCTACTTGGGAAGCTGAGGCAGGAGAATCGCTTAAACGCTGGAGGCAGAGGCTACAGTGAGCTGAGATCGAGCCACTGCACTCCAGCCGGGGCAACAGGGCAAGACTGTCTCTCAAAACATGTATTTTTTTCAAGTGAGGTGAAGAAAAAAAAATGGGTCCCCATTGTTTTTCTTTAAGGGAGGAACCATTTTCAAAAGCCCATTTAGAATCCAGATGATATCTGTTGCTCTACTGTGTGACTGAAACGCAGGTAAGTGTTGAAAAACAAAAAATTGGAAGTCTCCACCAAAAGACCTACACTGCTGTGGGGGCGGATTTTAATCAGACATTTTAAAAGCAATTTTTATTACTTGATCCTGTCCTCATACTTGACTAGGAGTTTGGCTGGAGATTCTAACTCTAAGATGATCCTCCATGATCATCTAGCATCCCTTGTTGCCAGCGAGAAGTCTGATGTGGATCTAATAAGTGACGTGTTATGCAGGTTAACTTATTTTCAAGAAATAGAATTTTCTTTTTTTTCTTGATGCTGGAAGTTGAAACTGGCCATATCTAAATTATATTCATTCTGTTACTTAGTACTAATTGGGTCTTGTTTTTAGACCTGGGAAATTTTCTACCATTATTACTTTGTTTCTTCCCTTTTTTTTTTTTAACTTTATTTTCTCTTTCTCTTTTCTCTTTCTAGAACTTTCTAGAACAAATCTCAGGTTCCCTGGATGTTTCTTCCATAATTGTTACCATGCTTCTCATACGTTTCATCTTACCTTCTACTTTGTCAGCCCATCTGAGTTTATTTCAACAGCCAAATGTTTTAACTTTACTTTGAAATGATTCCAGGCTTCCAAAAAATGTTTCAGGAATAGTATAAAAACTGCCATTTGCCCTTCACCCAGATTCATAAACTGCTAACATTTTGCACCATTGCTTTGTCATCTTGTGTGTGTGTGCAGGAATCACAGAGGCTACTTTGTGATGTTTGTGATGTTCGTGTATTGTGTATGCACACAGTTTTTTGTGACCTATTTGAAGTAAGTTACAGAGCTAATGCCCCTTTATCCCTAAATACTTCAGGGATGTTCTATTAGCCAATTATGCACAATTAACAGAACCAGGAAAATTCACATTGATACCATAGCAGTGACCAATACCCTAATCTACCGACCTTACTGAAATTTTGCTAATTGTTATTTTGGTGTGGTTGGGTTTTTTGTTTGTTTGTGATAGGGTCTCACTCTGTCACCCAGGCTGGGGTACAGTGGTACACTCACAGCTTACTACAACCTCAAACTTTGGGCCTCAAGTGATCCTTGGGCCTCAGCTTCCCAAAGGGCTGTGATTACAGGCATGAGCCACCAGGCTGGCCTCATTTCCCCTTTCCTTCTCCAGGATTCTGGCTTTCCTTGCCCCATTCATCCATCTCCATCACCCCGTAAGAGAGCTGAGTCGCTGTCAAGGCAGGTTTGGGGAGGTTTCTTGATGAAGGCAATGGAAGGAGGGTGCTCAGGCTGCAGTGGCGAGAGCTTTTCGTTTTTGAGCTAAAGAGATAGGGTGCAGAGGCTGAGAGAAGGAGTTCTAAGAAACTTGTTGTGAGCTCTGTAGCCTCTTCACACTGCTTCTGAGTAAAATCTCACAGAAGTGACTTTGACATTATGTTGTGGTTTCTGGAGGTCTTGGGACTGGCCCCTGTGGGTTGGTAAGGGCAT